AAAGTAGTCTTCAGTCTCTTGGTATCACAAACATATGTGCACTTAGCTACTTTCTTCCCTCCTAAATAAACATACAAACTGGGAGAAAGTAAGTTATAGTAGGTCCACTGTGGTCCTTGTCAGATGACTGTATATACCTTAGCTGTGAAACCAGCAAGCTGACCCAATGGAACCAGCTTGAAAAGTCAGGTTAGTGATAGACGTCTCTTTGGAAAACAAAACTAAGGAATTATGTTTTTTAGAGCAGGGACTTCTTTCTCCACTGAAAGGAAAGGAAAGGTATTCTGGGCTGAAAGATCAGATAGGAAAACCAAGAGTCAGTGCAGAATCTGTACTGTAAATACAGAGGACTGAGGAGTGAAGCCTGGGACACCACCAGTGTCAGGTTAGAGATGAAAAACCAGCAAAAGAATCTGAGGAAGAATGGGTGAGTGGAACAGAAAGGGTGGATAAGAGAAAAATCAAGAAGGCCTGCAAGGTGGTTAAAATAGTAAGGAAGTGTGTTGAATGCTGCTGAAAGGGCAAGACAGGTTAGTTAACCTTGACAAGAGCAGTTTCAAAAGATTGGTGGGGATGCAAACCTAACTGGAATAGGTTCGGGAGATAACAGAAGGAAGGAATGAAAATAGAAACAGCCTTCTTGAAGCATTTAACTGAGAGCAGAGAAATGGGATGGAAGACGGAGAGGGGTGAGGATTCAAGAGGATTATGGTGGGTGCTGTGCCGAACCACCCAGATTTCACCTTTGGACGAAGGAACTCAAACTGCCAGCAGCTACGAGGCTTGGCTACAGACGCCACACAGCTGCACCCCCCGCAGGAGATGCCTTTGGCTGAAGGAAGCTGCCTGCAGGCAGTACACCGGCCCAGCATCCCCTGTGTGGTGGCTAGGCAATGCAAGGGCAGAAAGGCCCTGCCCTCTGGCCTTGCTCAGGACTTCTCTGAAGGGCCGTTTAGCATCAGATACCTGTGCGTGACTGCAGCCATGAAGTTAAAAGACGCTCACTCCTTGGAAGGAAAGCTATGACCAACCTAGATGGCATGTTGAAAGGCAGAGACGTTACTCTGCCAACAAAGGTCCGTCTGGTCAAGGCTATGGTTTTTCCAGTGGTCATGTACGGATGTGAGAGTTGGACTGTGAAGAAAGCTGAGCGCCGAAAAATTGATGCTTTTGAACTATGGTGTTGGAGAAGACTCTTGAGAGTCAATTTGGACTGCAAGGAGATCCAACCAGTCCATCCTGAAGGAGATAAGTCCTGGGTGTTCATTGGAAGGACTGATGCTGAAGCTGAAACTCCAATACTTTGGCCACCTCATGCGAAGAATTGATTCGTTGGAAAAGACCCTGATGCTGGGAGGGATTGGGGGCAGGAGGAGAAGACGACGACAGAGGATGAGATGGCTGGATGGCATCACCGACTCGATGGGCTTGAGTTTGAGTAAACTCCGGGAGTTTGTGATGGACAGGGAGGCCTGGCGTGCTGTGATTCATGGGGTCGGACACAACTGAGCGACTGAACTGAACTGAACCTGTGGGACTGACTAAAGCTGCTTTCTCAACCAGGGCGACTATTCCGACTTGCCCAGCACTGAGGTTTCTGGGCTGAACTGGGATAGTCCTGCATGGCTGATCACCCTATTTGCAGCTGCACCACATTTCAACTTCTCCTCCCACCCAGACTTGTTCCACTTGCTCTCGAAAGCATTTCCCCATCCCCCCAAAAACCTCCTGTACAAAATCTCAGCATCTCCTCCAGGGGAACAAATTTGCAACAGGGCTTTTTTTTTAAAAGTCAGAGGAAATCACAGCCCTTCTGAATCCTATAGGGAATGATCCAATAAAAGAAAAGGGAGGGAGAATTGATGGGTCATGATCATTGGGTAGCTGATGCAGGTGGGATTGAGGAGTTTGGCCTTAAATAGGAGAGGGCTTTCCAACGGAATCTTCCTGACCTAGGTATCAAACCTATTTTAAAGGTGTGTGCAAGAATGATTCCAACACTGGCTAGTGGAGTGAGTTGAGGCATGAAGGTGGTGAAGCAGAGACGAGGTGGCAGGATAAAGAGATGATGAGAGGGTCTAGTGGGGCTGAGCTGTTTGTATTGGAGGAAAGAAGTCACATCTAAATCTAGGCTATGGCTGTGGGGTTGAGTGATTAAGGAAGGATGGAAAATGACTTTCCAGAGAAAGCAGATCTTGGCAGGAGGAAACTTTCAACTTTTCCCCACCAAATCTTAAGCTTCATTACAAGTAGTAGACAGAATGCCCCCACCCCAAAATGACTATTGTCCTAACCTCCAAACCTGTTAATATGTATCTCATATGGCAAGAGGGGGTTTGGAGATATGATTAAGGATTCAAGGAAGATTCCCTAATTTGTAGTTTAAGCAGCTATGTTGATGGAGCCGTTTACTGAGTTTAAGCAAAAAATTTCCAGTGAAAAGTAATGGGTCCAGTTTTGGACCTGCCAAGCTGAAAATACCTGAGATGGAGATGCTAGGTGGGCAGATGGATAGCCAAACATGGCCAACATTTCAACTTGAAATAAACTCTGGGACTTTCTTCTAGATAGATGGTAATTAAAGCCATGGTCACAGCTGAGGAAGTTTATAAATAAAAGATAATCCAGGACCAGAAATTACTTCAAGCCTGATCAGTGAATAATAAAATTCTGCCAAAGATGGTGGAACAGATAAAGGATTTACCCTAGATCTGAAGAGGATGAGGCCACAATAACAGGAAATGAGGAAGGAGTGCTATAAATGCATTGGTTTGCTATTGCTGCTCTAATAAATTATTCAAACTTACAACAACACAAATTATCTTATGGTTGTGAAGGTCAGAAGTTTGAAACAGGTCTTGAGGGGTTAAAGTCAAGCTGTCTGCAGACCTGCGGTCCTTCCGGAGGTTCTAGGGGAAAATCTGTGCCCCACCCTTCCCAGCTCCTGGAACACAGAGGCGGCCCACATTCCTTGGCATGTGGCTGTATCATTCCAACCTCTGCTTCTGTTGCAGCATCTCTGACTCAGCTTTCTTTCTCCCTCTTATAAAACCCGTGTGATGACACTGGGTCTACCCAGATAACCTAAGATACTCCCTGCACCTCCAGAGTCTTCCCTGAATTCTTTCTTTCCCCTACACTGCATTCCTCTGAATCAACATGTACTGGTCTGCTCATTCCATCCTCTTTGACCTTCCCTTCAAATCTAAGCCCCACAATGCATCTAGGTTTAAGTAAGCAATTTTGAACTCCTCTTGATCAATATGATTTGAACACCTTAATCAATTCCTACCTGGCTCCCCCTTCTCTACACTTTCCCCATAAGATAACTATAGTTATTCCCTCAAATCTGAACCAGCAGCAACATGAGGTCCTTCAGATATCCATTTGTGTGGCATCCTTTGATGAATTATAGACCCCCAAATGGCAGTCCCATGATTGTCCATTCCCAGCTTCTAGCACAAGAGCGTGGCATATAATAGAAACTGTAACTGATAAATAAGTTATTAATCTCTGGGACTTTTGTCCATGGAATTCTCCAGGCAGGAATACTAGAGTGGTTGCCATTCTCTTCTCCAGGGGATCTTCCTGACCCAGGGATTGAACCCGGGTCTCCCATGTTGCAGGCAGATTCTTTACCATCTGAGCCACCAGGGAAGCGCTTAAAAGCCAGACCTTATGGTAAATTATCTGCCTTATAAATATTTGCAAGAGAACAAGCATCTCACTATAAAATAATAAAACAGTCCCGTAATGTTGGAGGCTGTTTCACAGATTCTGCTCTGTACTTTAGAGCAGGTGTCCCATAAGCCAAATTCAGCTTGCCCCAAATAAGCCCTTTTTCCAGAAAAAACTCAAGACAAAACAGTACCCCCCCGTGACACTGAACACTGAACAACTGAAATACATGGCAAAAAGTTTAGCTGATTTAGTGTGGTAAGTTCAGAAAAACTAAGCCTAGGAAAATCAAAAGGATCTGCAAGGAAAAGGCAACAACAGTGTTTGGAGTCCTAATGAAATCACACTAAGTACTCAGAAAGGAAGCAGAAATGAGATGTGTGAGAGACGGAGGTGAGGACAGGAAAGAGACACAATCCTCACATGCAGGAGAGGTCAGCAGGCAACGTCCAAAACAGAAAAATCATAAGGTAACAACATGATCGTGACTTACAGACAGGAAGTCAACTCAAGGTAATTCTTGAAAAAGAGGTGAATGTCATGGTATCTGGGAGGAAAGTTAACGACTCTCCCAACAAACCTGGAGAACTGCCTGACTTTAAAAGTACAGCATTTTCCCCTTTGGTGGTTTTACATATTCTCAGCCTCAAGTAGTAATGCTGCCTTTCATAAAGACTGCTTAAGAATAGAACCATGTTTTATCAGGACAAGCAAATTCTCCAGTCCCAAACAGGAGGAACTCAATTTAATGTGGTTTGTAATAGTCTCAATGTTACAGTAGTCTCACCAGTGATTGTTTGTTTGCAGCAAAAATGTGGGTTAAAGAAAAATAAAAGCCCTATTTTTCTTATTAAAAATATAGACTAATAGTCCCATGCTTAAATGACATGTTTGTGTGCTGGCTTCCATGAAACATAACTAATGGAGAGAAATTCTTCAACAAATATACTCCAAACATAAGTAAAAAAGTACACAGAAATGACTCACAAGACAGGGCCATTGCAGACATAATTCCCTTATAATTCATACTTGCTAGAAAATGGAGTTTGACATCATGATGTACAATTACACCAACATTCATCGAGGCTGATATCACAGGTATAAGGGAATACTAGAACCGTAAAACGTCTCTTCATACTTGCCAAAAAGTTCTAGCTATAAAGGTCAGTTACCAGAGCCAAAATTGTTCTTAACAAGCAGAATTTTTATGTCCATTCAGTCGAAGAGTCTCTTCCATCTTTCTGGGCCTATTCATTTGCAGATAGGAGAAGAAACTGTAGCCAGGTTCTTCATACCATGCATTCACACGTGACACCCACTCTTCATATGCTATCCAATTTCTTTAAGATAAAAGGAGCTGAAAGGAAAACAAACCCAGAATTTGTTTTCAGATCCAGATCATCACAAGTTACATTATGGAATTACAGGACTGGGAGATAAATTTCACAGTTGAACACATTTTTCAAACAAATGATGGCTAAGCCTTGGCCTGTGCGCCCAGCAAAAGCTAACTGCTGTCTTTCAAGGGAGCCCATCCCACCATCGTGCAGCTACAACTATTATAAAGTTCACTCTTACACTATATAAAATCTTCTCTTCACGTAGTTCTCCTCTTAGGACATAAAGAAATCTAATCTCCTTCAAATGACAAGTTTTTACTTTGTGATGTGACTGTCAAAGGAACAAAACTCTGACAGTCCTATTTCAGTTATTATGAGTAGGGTGGTATAGATAAAAATGTCTAGCAAACAAGGAAGTGCTGTCATAGGGATCTAAAGAAGTGATATTATTGTCTTGTGTAACAGTGCTATGGCCAAAATAAGCATGGGAAAAGATGCTCAGCATCATCAATCATTAGAGAAATGCAAAACAAAACTACAGGGACATATCAGTTCACACCCAAGAGATGGCTACTGTCAAAAAACTTGGCAAGGATGTTGAAAAATGGTACTCTTGCACCCTGCTGCTGAGAGTGTAAAAATGGTATTGCTGCTATGGAACACAGTATAGTGGTTCCTTAAAAAAAAAAAAAAAAAGATGGTGGGGTGCTGCCAGCAGCTGGGAGGAGCAGGGAATGGGGGATTACTGTTTGTAACAGCTATACAGTTCAGTTTTACAAAAGAAAACGTGTTCTGGAGATGGTGGTGATGATTACATAATATTATTAATGTATTTAATACATTAAATAGTTAAAAAAAACCTCCTATCAGAAAAAAAAAATAACAGTCATCAAAAGAATGGATAAAGTGTGGTATATCCATACAATGGAATATTATTTGGCAATGAAAAGGAAATAGTGACACATGCTACAATATGGCAAACCTTGAAAACATCATGCTAGACATGGTCACATCCTGTGCAGTTCCATTCATAAAAGATACCTACAACAGGGAAGCCTCTGAAGACAAGGAGTCTCTTAGTGGTTGCCAGGGGCGAGGGAAGGGGGGATGGGAGAATGACAGCCAATGGGCATGGTGTTTCTTTCAGAAGGGAAGAAAATGTCTTAAAATAGATTGTGGTGATGGCTGCACAACTCTTGACTACACAAGGAACCAATGAACTGTATACTTGAAATGGGTTAAGTGAATAACATGCAAATTATATCTCAATTTAAAAAGTGGTAAGGATCAGTATTGTTTTGTTTTGAAACTGATTCATCTCAAAGACAAAGGTCCCTGAAAAGCAGCCAATGTTTCACTGGCAACTAAGTCAACCAAAAAAAGGTAAGAGGAGGAAATTAGTCAAGTTGAGAGTTGCAAGCTGTTGAAGGAGCCAGAGGACTTGGTAGTTTCCGTTTTCCAAGGGCTCCCTCACCTGGGGAAGCAGAGCGACACCACAGTGAAAGGGACGCGGGAAGAGAGACCCGACCTCAAGAACTCTGGTCTTAGGCCCAACAGGAGCCTTACACAGGATGACCTTCATTTATGGTATGGCCTTCATTTATCAGCATCACCTCTGCCTCTCTATCCAGACCTATCAACAATACAGAACAAGGAACAATGAAAAGGAATACTGAACTGGAAATCGAACAACAGGGGCAATTAATTCACTTCTAAGATTCCTATCAGTAAAACTAGAGCACTGATCTAGAAAACTGTGTCTAGCTCCAGTACTGTGTGCCTATAATTCTACTACTTGGCGTAAGTCCCCTCTGAAAGTGGAGTTCTCATTTGCAAAGAGGATATACAGAGACTGAGGCCAAGATCAGGCAATGCAAATAGTTTCTACCAAACGTAAAAAAAAAGAAAAAAATGCTCAGGCATTACCATTAACCCTATCAATCCTTTCTTCTTCTTAAAAAAAAAAGAAAAGAAAAAGTAATTACCTACTTCACCCTCTGTACAAACAAAATCTTCTGGATTTCAGCGGTCAGCACTAATAGAAGCACACTTGGCAGTCAGTTAAGAACTCTGGATTCTAGGTCCAGATCATTCACTGAATCAATGACCTTGAGCCAGCTATTGCTCCACTCTAGACACCAGTTTTTCTGTTTGCAAAACGAGGGGTTGCTCCTGGGGATAAAGTTAGTTTTGTTGTTTTGTCGCCAAGTCGCATCCGACTCTGCGACCCCATATACTTTAGCTCTCTGTCCATGTGATTTCCCAGGCAGGAATACCGGAGTGGGTTCCCATTTCCTTCTCCAGGGGATCTTCCCGATCCCAGGGATCGCACCCGCAAACCTTAAGAGGTTCTTTCAACTCAATCGTCCTTAAGACGAGGAGGGACTGAGTGATTAACCTCGTGGTCCGGCTCGCCGCGGGCACTCGGTACCCCGACCCTGACCCGCCAATCCGAAGCCTTGCCCGCCCGCGCCCGCCGCCCTCAACGCGCACAGCTCTCGCTCCTCGCAACCGCTTAGCCCTGGCTCCAAGGCCCCCACGAGGCGGGTGGGACCAGGGCCGGGAGGGCAGGGGGCGGCGAGCTCCCTGCGAGTCTCGCGGCCACAGCCTGGGAGGGTACTTACTGACTCGCAACAGGGCCACGTAGATGAGGAAGTTCCGTATGGAGGAGATCACATCCTCGCGCATCTTCCGTTTCATCTCCTCCGGGTCCAGCTTCGGCGCAAGGCCCTCGATCCGGAACATCTCAGCTCTTGCTAACGGCTTCCAGCTGCCACCCTCTCGACTCTTCTCCGCAGCCTGCCGGCGCCCGGAATGCGGCCCAACCCCATTTCCTGTTCCCGCCCCTCATTTTTTACGCGTGGCGACGAGAGCCTGCGAAGGACAAACTTTCTCCTTAAATTGAGCTGTTCTGAAGGAGGGCGGCCTGAAGAGGGTGCTCGCCGTCTTAGCGACGCAGGACTTGTGTTCTTGCAGTCCTTTTGTTTAACAACCTCTGCCCTGAACCCGGTGCGCGTAGCTGCAGGGAACCCGTCAGAGGGGGAGGTTTGCATAGGTACCATCATAAATAATAATAGTTAACATTTACGGATACTCAGTACAGTGCAATCCCATGAATTCGATGTTATAATCTTCATTTCCTAGATGAGAAAACTGAAGCACAGAAATCTTTAAAACAACAACTTGCCCGAATTTGTTTTAAAATACCTCGGAGCAGGGAACGTGTTGGGGAAGAAAGGTGAACGGATATTAGCAAACTACTGAAAATTACTTAAGCTGGTGATAGTGTATCACTTTAGTTAATCCTGGTCTTGTATTTTGAGTATTTTTGAACTTTTTAATGATAAAAGATAAAGATGATGAAACTTGCTCATGATTACACAACTAGTAAGTTGCTGAGCAGGGTTTTATGCCTAGTTACTGATAGGGTCTGTTGACAGAGTGTTCAACATTTTCCATATTATTGTTGTCTTCTCATTTCTGGAGTTAACTGATCATCAAATTATAGTATTGGTCCAATACTATACTTTGACAATACTATCAAAGTATAGTATTGGACCAATAATACCTTATATATGAAGCAAGTTTAGATCTGTTCAACATCTTACATTTTCACAGATTTACGGGAGAGGCTTAGAAACCACGAGTATTAAAGTCGGTCTGCTGGTGATGGGCAGAGGCAAGGTTCTAATGCAAATAATTATAATGTCAAGTTGAATTCTCTTTCCCTTGAACCCTGTTGTTCCTCTGTTAGTCTTATTAGCCATTAGCACCTGCTTAGATGGGCATCTCTGGAGCCAGAAGGAAGGAATTTAATGCAACCAGATTTCCTGTCGAAGAATCATCAAACAGTTGTTAGAAGGCTGCTGCCCCAAATTATGCACGCCAATCAGCCATATATATAATTCTTAGACACGAACCAGATGACTGAACTGATCACATAATTCAAAACCAGAATGCTCCTTCTTCAGCGTACTATGCACTTTGCATAGTGACAGTGGATTTTAGATGAATTAGAGCAAGAATTTAACTATGGGAGGAACTGATAACTCTTAAGTGTTGCTGACCTCCCATTGACAGAATGGGTCAAGAAAGGGAAGTCATCTGCCTATTCAGGCTTTAGTAACTTCTTGCATCTATAATTCATGCAGTGGAAGAGCAGAGACAGCTCTGAAATGGGAGGGGCTGACTCCCAAGGAAGAGCTCCACCTAACCTTTGAGAGCGTTTAGAAAGCCTGCAGTGATGCTAGAAAGTAACAGGGGCTGTGGAAAGAGCTTGAACCAGAAGACTGGAGACATAGCCTTCAGATCTGGCACTACGTTATCTAGCCATGTGAGGCGGGACAAGTCTCTGTTCCACCGCAGCTGTGTTTCTTCAGTTATAAAGAGAGGAGATATGATTCAATTCTCTTGAGAGTCCCTTTCGCTTCTAACAGTCTGTGCATTTGAATTCTAATTGTATCATCTAGGGCGTTCTGGTCTGGAGGGTATGGACAGCGAATTATCAGATGTGGTGAGATATCAGAATATGTGTGTTTTCCATGGTAGGAAGAATGTAGCATCCCACATCCATCTGAATAGTGAGGCAAAACGGATTGGAAAGGGGTGAGTTCTTAAGTGATTCCAGTAACTTGGGTCTCTAATGCTGACTGAATTTAGATAAACAGTTCTCATATGGAGCTACCCATTTTTTTCTTTGCTAAGATGCCCTTGAGTAACTTCCCTGGATTCATAGGGAACCAAAGAGGGGAGAAATTAATAGAAAATCATACTTCTTTGGTTAGCAAAGAAGTGGTTAGCATTTGCATTTTGTTCATCCAATGTTTACTTGATGATATGGTAATTCGTGGCTGATTTGTTAAAGGACAGTGTTACTCACATAACAATTCTCTTCCAAAGGTCTGGTGCTTGCCTTCTTGTAGAGAGACAGGAAAGTAGTGGGTGGAAATATGGCGTAGCTGTGTCTTGGGGTGAGGAATTGGTTCTGGATGCAGGCTAGAAGTGAACTATTCCTGTCTCAGAAATGTTCATCCTGATTAACTCTCTTCCCCCTGCCTGGTTCCTCTAGTTGTAATGGAGGAAACAGTAAAAGAGGTTGGGCTATTTATCTTTTCTTTTCATGGTTTTTATTTTTTCGCTTTTTTGTTTGGTATGTAAGTGGTGGTATTGTCCAGTTATGGTTGGTGGAGGTGAGGTAAATTGAGAGACCATGCTTCAGGAAGTTAATATTGGAATTAGCTGTTTCACATCTTGGAAATGATGAGGGACTTGGGTCAAATCTTTAAAGTCACTTGCAGTTCTAAAATGCTGAAATTCCGTGTCTGTCTTTCCTGTTCTTCCTTTATAATCTTGCATTAAAGGCTAAAAGCAGAGAATTCCCTGTACTTCACCACAGAAGGCAAAAATAAAAAGTATGCACACATAATTTAATATTGATATTTGTATTATTTAGTCTGATCAAATGGTAGTTGATGTCACAACCTGTCTTGTTTTTCATTTCCACCCCAGGAGGGCTTTAAGAGCTATTTCCTTTGCCTCAACTTCCCAGATGGTACTGGACACAAGCATTCATTGTGTACAGACTACCCATAAAATAATTAACCATTTCAATGTCTATCACTGGGGAGGAATTTGTATTTGCAAAGTCAGAGACTGCGAGGTGACTCATGATTGGGGAAAAATTCCATCGTATAATCACAGGAACTTTGTGGCTTCTGATTTATAGGGGGTGTGTAGTTTTCACGTATTGAACCTACAGCCCCTTCAGGTGAGAAACCTGAGGTCCAGAGGGAAGCTAGTTAGAGGCAGGGCCAGCTGGGGCTGGGGAAGGAGTCTGGGCCCTCAGCTTGGCACTTTCTCAGCACACCTTGCAGCTTTTGATATTTTGTGGATATTCTCATTGATAATCCTCCACTCAGGGGTGTGGATTGTAAGCATAGGTTGTTGTTGAACCCATTTGGGAAAGGGCAGGCTGAGGGGAGCCCTTCTTTCCATGTTTCCACATGCATCACCAGTAATTAATCTAGGCTGTGTTATTATCTAGCTCCAAACTTCTCCTTCCTCTTTTCTTCAGGAGATGAACCTGGTTTGGTGTTCCCCAAATAAACTTGACTTTGAAGCCCACTCAGGACCCGTGATAATGAAACAAAGGTCAGCACGAGGAAAGGCCACGTGGGCCCCCTGCTCTGTGACAAAGCTAGCCAGAGTCCTCCCCCATCAGATGGGGTGACACTTCTAGGAGTTACTGCCCAGCTAGAGGCATCTCTAGGAAGAGAGGCCTTTTGAGCCTCAAAAGATGAGTAGAATTTTGATAACCCTCATCTCACTAGCATTTATTTTCAATGATATCCTGCATGTATGTGTGTGCTCAGCCGTTCAGCCGTGTCCAACTCTTTGCAACCCCCTGGACTGCAGCCTGCCAGTATCCTCTGTCCATGGGATTCTCTAGGCAAGAATACTGGGGTGGCTTGCCATTTCCTCCTCCAGGGGATCTTCCAGACCCAGGGATCAAACCCATGTCTCCGGAGGCTCCTACATTGGCAGCAGGATTCTTGACCACTGAGCCCCCTGGTACCGCATAATGCCCTGTTCTCTATCTAATTTTATGACTTTGTTGTCCGGACTTTGTTGATCTCTTTCCAAGTAGACTGTAAGCACCTCAGGTACAAACAACATGTCCTTTAAGCCTCTAAACAATTCACAACAGATATCTATACATGGTGAAAACTCAGCAGTGATGCCTTGAGTGATTGAATGCTAACCTAGAATTTAAAAATTGGTAGCTTTGTACATTAGGTTGAAAGGAAACTATCCACAAAAGAAATTTACCCAAAATTCCACATATTTTTATAGTTATTAATTTCTCATTGTTTTAGTATAACTTGTTTTTCTTTGGCTACATAAAAATTATTTAAATAATTTTAGAGTATCATTGACAAAGTTAAAGAATGAATATAAGATTTACTTGCTTTATTTTTAGCAATAGAATTATATTAAAACCATATGACAAGTTTAATTTTTTTTCCATAAAAGTACATTTATTATAAAATTTATAAAAATACAGAATTAGAGAAGAAAAGAAAGTAACAGTCCCCCATGACTCAACAACCACTAAGAATATTGGTGATAATCCTTTCAGTATTTGTTCTTCTATCATATACATATAGAATTCTCTCTGTCTCTATACATATGTGTGTGTGTGTGTGTATGTGTGTGTATATATATATAATTTTGTGGTATTCTTTATATGCTGCTGCTGCTGCTGCTAAGTCGCTTCAGTTGCGTCTGACTCTGTGAGACCCCGTAGACGGCAGTCCACCAGGCTCCGCCATCCCTGGGATTTTCCAGGCAAGAACACTGGAGTGGGTTACCATTGCCTTCTCTGATTCTCTATATAGATGTACCATAATTTATGTAATTAACCTCTACCTTTGAGCATTTATATTACTTTTATATTTTCCCTATAAATATTACTCTGAGAAACATTCTTTTAATAATCTTTATGAACCCTTAACATGTTTTGATCATTATAATTGTTACCTTAAATTCAGAGTTCTCAACTTCTCTCAGTGACCCTTCCCACCTTTTTTTTTTCCTAGGGAACAAAAGCACTCTCTGGCCAAGAGTATAGGTGTCAGATTTCCATATCTCTGGGAGTTACAAACAAGAGATGGGAAATTTTGTTTGTTTTCAGAAGAAGTTTTCTTCCTTCTGCTGTAAGTTCTTATTATTTAGCAGCAGGAGAG